TGGGATGGGAGAAAGGAGAAAAGAAGGAAGGGAAAAGGAAAATTAGATAAATAAATGCATATATTTTCATATATAAATATATATATATGCACACACACAAGATAGTTAAGATAGTCATACTACTAATTTCTCTTAGTTCATTGAAAAGAAAGGTTGGTGCTAATATTGTTTGGACAATTAACTGCTGATATCTTGTAAAAAGAATTGCTTCCTTTGCAAACTCTGACTGCAGCAGATAGGAAGCAGTTTTTGGGACAAAGCCAGGAGTGGGAGGAGGAGACCCAGACCCTGGGGCTGAGATGCAGGGAGACATGGGAGCTGGGGGTGGCAAGGGAGGGGCCATTAGGGCAGCAGTGAGCATCGGTGGTGTCCCAGGGATGGTCGGAGCACCTAATAACTGGTTACAGTGTCTTCCCTGAAAGGGGAACACACCAGGTGGTGATGACTAAGGAGTGTGGGAAAGGTGTTAACCCAGTTGACACCAGAGTGAGAGGGTTTTGAAATGTCTGGAGACTTTGCTGTCAATGCCCACGACAGTAGTCAGGGTCAGAAAGGGATGAACTCACCCGCCACTGTATGAGATTCCCAAAGTTCAGCATCCATGATGGTCCAAGGGGCCCTGAGACCTTGGGGCAGCTTCAATGTTCAATGGCCAAACCAAGAAGGACTCACTGGTCTCTTGGTGTACCCCAGGGAGGAACGGGTGGAGGGTGGGAGGAAAAGATAGACAAGAGACAAGCGCTGGGCCAGGTGGAGGCGTCTTTCCCGGGTGGGTAAGAGGACCTGAACAACAACAGTAGGGCGTTTATTTATGCTCTTGCAAAGTTAGTATAAGGGGACACAAGGTTACCTAGCAACTAATGCTGAAATTGTCCTGGCAGGACGATTTTCTCAAGCCTAAGGTTGCTTGACTGCTTGAGGCACTGTGGCCTTGTCTTGTCTCCACACAAAGAACCAACTTCCAGCTCAGGTGCTCCCAACATCATTGCTGAGACAAAATACCTGGTGCCCAAAATAAAGGGAAGAAATGTTTATTTAGCTCACAGTTTGTGGAGGTTTCAGGCCATACTCAGCTGGCTCCAAGGCAGGGTGGCAGGGTACAGGGGCAACAGTTCAAGGAGGCAGAAGACAGAAAAAGCAACAAGAGCAAAAGGGGGCGGGGAAGCAAGTTTCTTATCTTCCCTTATATTGTGTGCTGGCTATTCACGCACACCATCTCCATGCAGTCCTCTTCCATAAGCTCAGGTTGTTTACAAAGTGAGGACCCTGGCCCCCTGCTGAGTCACTTAGTTAAGCTTCTAAACTTCTCAATTCTCAAATTGATACAACGTATCAACCCTGAAAGGAACACACACCCCCGCCCCAGGAAGGACATGGCTTGGGAGATATCCCAGGCATCTGGCACTCCCTATCCTAGTGACCATTATGGCAGAATTTGAACCAAGGCCAGAAGGGATGCTTCTGGTCAGGGGCATGTTTGATCCCTTTGTAGTCAACCCAGTGATCAACTCTGAGGAATTCCTTATGGCAGAGGCCAGTGTTGAAGACCTCAAGGCCAGCGTAATGAGCTCCTGCTGTGTTTGACGGGCCACCTCCAGCTGCTGTAATTGTGACTGCCTGGGGCTGAGCAGTGAGGTGCACTGTAAGGAGAAGTTGCCCTTCTGGGCCCTCTGAATCTAGTATGGTGAATTGTCTAAGAGTGGCAGTCAGCTGAGCCATAAACTGGCCTGGATTTTTATCTCTGATTTCTTTAAAGTTATCAAAATTAGCCAGGGGTGGTGGCACACATCTGCAATCCCAGCACTCAGGAGGCTGAGGCAGGAGGATCATTGTCAAGACCAGTCTGGGTTACAAAGTGAGCTCAAGGCCAGCCTGAACTGCATAGCAAGACCCTGTCTCAGAAACATATAAAAAAAATTAGCTGCAGAGTCCCTCCATTAGGTAAGTGTTGGTGTGTAACAGGTCCCGAGAATGGATGAAAAGATAAACAAAAGAGACAAAGTTATGGGATCAGGAGCTGTAGCCTCTAGGACTGAAGCCTTGATTACAATCTTCTTTAGCCTTTTATTGGGATACAAACAAAAAGCAGCCACAGGGGAAATGGGAGGAATCATTAACAGGATTAGCAAGGACAATACAACTTGATTTCCACAGGAACTAGACTTTGACTTAGTTATCATGTTATCATTCCTTTGGGCATATCTCAGCAAAGCATCCAGTGTTGTCCTGCAGGTTTCCACAGGGACTAAGGTCCTGGTTCCATTTCCTTTTACCCTAATGCTTTTGCTAGACTTCCTCCAGAATCAAACAATCATGTGGCTTGTTCAGGCTCAAAGTCCCACATAGGTAATACATTGAAAGGTAAACTACAGAATGTCCTTCTCCACAGGTAAGAGATCGTGTGACTTACTGGTTATATCCTGGGATCCTGCTGATAGCTCCAATTTGGATCCTCTTGGAGGACAGCCCCAGGGCCTCCAGAAAGTTCGGAGTGAAACTGCCTGCAGTCATCCCCATTGGACTGAACCAGAAAATGTACCCATTGGTTCATCTGGGGAGAGAGTCGTGCTAAGGATGACATTTAAATCAGCCCAGGGAAGGCTACATGACTGGGTGAGGGATTGCAACTCCTGGACATAGTGGGTGAGGTCAGAGGAGAAGGCACCCAGATGCTGGCTGACATGGGAGAGGTCTGACAGAGGGAAGGGAACATGAACTCAGACTATTTCCTCTGCTCCTGCAACTTCTTGGAGCAGAAACGGAGGGGTGGGGGCAAAGGACTAGGGCCAAACTGTAGTCTGGGCCAGGTGTGGGGAAGGTGGTGCTGGGTAAAGCACATGGAGGAGTGTTAGAGCTGGGGGCAGCTTCAGATAGAGAGAAAGGGTAGAGTGAAGAGGTGGTATTGGATTGGCAGAAGGCTGAGGGGAGGCTGTGGTGGCTGCAGCAGGAGCCACAGTGGTGGGGGCACAGGGGGAGAATGCTGAGGAGAGTGAGGTCAGCAGGATCTGGCATCAGGAAGCTGAGAGGGTGCAGACAGGAGGAAAGAAGGGTTTGAGAGGGGTTGCAGGAAGAGCAGAGCGTAGGGAGACTACAGAGTGTAAAAAATGCCTAGACATAGGGTACCTCAGACCATTTGCCCACTTTTTGGAAATAATTATCTAAGTCTTGCAAGATGGAAAAATCAAAGGTGCCATTTTCCAGCCATTGGGAGCCATTTTCAAGTTGATATAATGGCCAAGTGGTATTGCCAAAAAAAAATTAGGCTTCAGATCAGGGGAGAGCAGAGAGGTTCTAGGTGTTTCAGGAGACAGGCTAGGGGAAGAGGAAGGAATACAGGGAGGAATGTTCCACATTGAGAGGAGAGAGGTGATGAGAGTGGCCACAAGGTTTGTGGCGGATGTCTCCAGCTGGACTCAGGGCCATAGTGTAACGAGATGAGTGACCACGAAGTTCTCACCAAGACTGGTCAAACCTCAGGGGAAGACCATCTTCCTGGAGCATTTCCTTGACCTGTGCTGCATCTAACGGACATGGAAAGCAGAGGAGCCTCTTTCTGTCTCCGTGGGTGAGGGGGTGGGAAGAGAAGTCTCAGCAGGTGAGAGATTAAGAGAGAAAGATCTCAGAGGGTGTAGGGCAAGGGCAGTGGAAGGAGGAGGGGAGGAGGAGGTTGAAGAGAGAGGGAACAGTCTTAAAGGCACAGAGAGAAAGTGTTAAAGCACAGAGAAGGGAGAGGGAGAAGTCTTACTCAATCTGAGGCAGACGTGGGCACTGCCTGGGTACAATGTGAGGAATGGATGTCACAGGGTGGTCTCATCAGGAAAAGGGCTCAGGACAGGGCACAGAACTCCTCCAGGGAGGATCATCCTATCTGGGTCAGTGCACCAGACATCATGCAGGCAGAGGGTATTAAGCTTTTCTCCCTGGATTGTTGTGAAGCCAAAGGGACCAAGCCCTTTTGACTTCTTGAATAGTCTCTCAGGGAGAGGTCTCTCTCCACCCAGAGAGACCATCCCTGCAGGCTCCATGTGAAAGCAGCAAGGCTGGTTTATTTCTCACCTGGGTACGAGCCAGCTGAGACCAAGAAAGGAATCAGCAAAGGCGGGGGGGAGGGGGGCACAGATTTAAGAAAGGAAACGGTTGCTAGGTGTCGGTGGTGGTTACCAGGGAGTGGTTTGTGGTGCAGTGGTCTCCAAGGGGCTTGGGGGCAGAGAGTAGGGCCGCTCTCTGCTCCTCTTGTAGCTGTGTGGGTTTCCTGGAACTGAGCTGTGGGGGCGCTGAGCTCTGTGATGGCTCTTTCCAGCGGAGCCAAATCTGTCTGTAACAGCTTTTCCCACAGGAAAGTTTCCCACTGGCCAGGCCGATTAGGGTGCTCCCATGAATGGGGTGAAGGTACTCAAAGAACTGAGGAGCACTGCAGTCTGGAACTGGGTGCATTTATACCTGTCTTGAAAGGATGGAAAAGCCCATGACAGCATGCCCTTCCCAGAAGGGATTTAGCCTTAGCCTTCTGGGATGGGCACCTTACAAGCACAGGCTTTTATTTTTTAATAGATAATTTGAACATTTTGGGGGGTTTCCAATTCTTTGGGTTGGCTTAACCTACTCCTTTAAAGGAGGAGTGACAGAGCAGGCTACCCACCCGAAGGCGGTGTAGCACTCACACCCATAATCCCAGCATTGGACCATGGATCAGACACAAACCATAACACTGTGAAATAGGAAGAAAATGTTCAAATGGGAAGGGAAACTAGGGAGAGGGAAAAGAAAAAATGAGAAAAGAAGGAAAAAAATGAAACAAAGCTTTTGTAAATAAGGAGGGAAGAAGGGCTGAAGGGAGGGTAAGGGAATGGGTAAAAAAGAACATATATTATGTACAAGTACAAATTCCCTGTGATGAATGCAATCATTATGTATACCTAAAATGTACCAATAAACTCAACTAATTTTTTTAAAAAGATAGTAAGTTATTCTCAAAGCTGTGAAATTTTCTGTCACTCTAGAAACAAAAAAGTTCCATTATCACTCTGAAGTGACCTGGGAAGTCCACATGTAGGAGTAATGTCTTTAATCAAGTCTTACCGACTTTTTGCCTTTTGAGTTGGAGAAGGATACACTTTTATACACCCAGCGAAGGTGTCAGCACAAACTAAGAGGTACTGTAACCCTGACACGGGGCCATCTGGGTGGGATCTAGTTACTAGTCCTCTCCAGAGAGGGGACCTCACTTTTGTGCTGGGTTAAGCAAAGGTGGAGGTTTAGCTTTCCCCTCTGGATTGTTGTGAAGCCAAAGGGACCAAGCCCTTTTGACTTCTTGAATAGTCTCTCAGAGGGATTTGGGTCTCTCCCATTTATTAAATGAAGAAACTTTAGATGGGACCCCAGATGTTTATGATCCAGTTACTGGACATGGCCTTTTCTGTTTTTAACAACTGGGATTTGGAGGAGGGTCAAAAGAGAAAGAAATAGAATTATATCAGTCATAATTGGCAATGCTTTCAGTTCATCCAAATTGTCTAAGGAAAATTATCAGGTTAATAATATCTCTTAGTTATTGCAGACTGATTAGGTCTGCAATCTCCTGAACGAGTGTATGGTGAATGGAATGATTTCAGGGCTCCTGGAGAATCAAAACCCTCTCACAGAATTCAAGATTCTCTTAGGGCTAAGATCAAGACCTTCTCTGGGTGGCCTGTATTTATTTGGTTATCAGAAGAAGGGAGGGGAGTATTCAAGAAAGGTGGAATCATTCAAGGACTTCCCCAAGCAAGGTATTAAATTAATGCTTAATAAAGATTAAGCTAATCCACCCAAGAGTGAGATGCCTGAGGCTATAATCTTTATCTAGTTGAGATAGATCCTTGGCTGTGATCTTGTCTTATTCTTTGAGGCTTTCTGGCTTCATTTGCCATTACAGGCCTTAGTACTGATGAGTCCATCACCCACTTCCAGACAAGCGGCCTAGGCTTTGGACAGATTCACAAGTAAATATAAAAAGCCTACTGATTAATTTAAGTCCTGCTCAAAGCTGTTTCAGAGTGGTCTCCATCATAAGGATGATCAAGTGCAAGAAGTCTGGACCCTACTCCAAGTGTGAGAAAGTCAATATGCCTAGTTCATGGCACTGGAGGGTGGATTGTCCCTGCTCCCAGAGAGAAGATAAGCCAACCAGAACCTTTGTCTCCTGCTCTGAAGAAGCCCAAGGGAACCTACAATACTCCTGTCTGTGGATATGACCATCTCCTACACAGAACCCTGGATAACACTGGACATCATAGGTAAGTAAATTTAATTATTTCATTCTGTTTTTGACTTACTTCTCTGGAAAACTCTTCTCTAGATCCATAGCTATAGTTGGGGTCGAGGGGACCCTTAGTCAGAGATTCTTTACTCCTGCTCTGACATGTCCTTTTGAAGGTTCCTTAAGCCTTTCTCTAGTGATGTTTAACAGTGAGATTCTAATTGTCCCACAGTGTCCTACTCCTTGCTAGGAAAAGATTTACCAGCAAAATTGGGGGCAATGCTCAAATTCTGGCAAAAGCCAAAATGGATTTTACCTGTTGGGGCTACACCAGGTCTGTCTAACCAAATTAGCCAACAGGTGGATCCTGTTTCATGGTATAATGTTACCTGGTAGGGAAAATTCAGCTATTCCAGTAGTTATAAAACTGAAAGACCCCCAACTGATTTCCTAATCAAAAGCAATGTCCAATCAAAGAAGGGCATTTAAAGCCTCCACCCTCTCACAGACAGGCTTCTCCAATACGGTCTTCTGCAGCTTCCTCAGGCCCCCTTGGTGCTCCTGTTCCCCCTGTAGTAAAGCTCTTGGGGAACATAGGATGCTACAAGGCCTCCCCTTCACTCACGAGACTGTCATTTCAACCCCCCTGGTGGCAGATCCATACGCAGTGCTTGCTTAAATTCCAGGGAAACTAATGCGTTCTCAGCCCTAGACCTGAAAGATGCATTCTTTCCACCCTCTACATTCAGACTCTCGGTTTTTGTTTGCCTTTGAATGGAAAAATCCCATTTCAGGAGAAAAGCAGCAGTATACTTGACAGTTCTCCTGAGAGGGTTAGAGCCCTCCTCACCTTTGTGCTTGGGCACTAGAGAAAGGCTTAAGGAACCTAGTACTTAAACAGGGAAACACCCAATAGTACGTAGATGATATTCTAGTTCGCAGCCCAACTTGGGAGTTATCCAACCATAATACTATACAAACTCTCAACCATAATATAATATTATGCAAATTCTCAACTTTCCAGCTAAGAAGGGATATAAAGTCTCCAAAGAAAAGGCTCAGCTATTCCTCCACAATGTTCAGTAGCTGGGATATGTTCTTACACCTGAGGAACAAAAGCTGTCCATGGACCAGATCCTGCTATCTGTGCTCTCGGGCTTCCTGCCCCCAAACAACAGCTTCATTCCTTCCTGGGAGTGGCCAGCATCTGGCAGATCTGGATAGCTAATTTTGGACTATTGGCAAAGCCTTCAAATAAGTCTGCCAAAGACCCTGAGTCTGTGCCCTTAGAATGGACAAAAATAACTGACAATGCTTTTAGAGAAATAAAGCATGCACTTACCCAGGCTCCAACATGGGGAATACCTGACTCAAGAAAACCTTCTTTTGCTACATATCAGAAAAGAGGGCAATTGCTTTGGGTGTCTTGACCCAGAAGCTAGGACAAGAACTCCACAGAGTGGCACACTTTCCCAAAAAAAGTGACATGGGGTGGCTACTGGATGGCCACTTCTGCCTGACAGCAATAGCAGCTACAGCTACGCTAACAGAGGAAGCTGAAAAATTAACATTAGGACAGAAACTAGAAATCCTAACTCCCCATCAGATCAGGGCTATTCTGGAGACAAAAGGTTACTTGGGATGAACAGGGGATTGGCTTACTGATTATCAGGCCCTGCTCTCAGACACCCCTGATGTTATTATAAAAACTTGCTATAAATGTCCTACACTGCAAATGGCCACTAGAATTTTCACAGGACTAAGAAGAAAGCTATTCCTGAAATCTTCTAGAAGGCCCGAGGCTCTGCAGAAAGCAAACTCCAGTATGCTCTGGGTGCACATAAGGAGTCACTCGTGCCCCTAATTCACCGCCGGCTACATGGGCACCTGTAGGGAGGCTCCTGTTTTTGATTAGACCCATTATGTGGTAACCTTGCTAAGGCCCTGGCTCACAGGCTGTCAGTAATGTGTCTACCTTCCCTCTTCTTTTTTTTTTTTTTTTTTTCCTCCGGTACCAGGAACCGAACTCACGACCTTGCACTTGCCAGGCAGGCGCTTTGCCGCTGAGCTAAATCCCCAGCCCCTACCTTCCCTCTTCGCCGTACTTCGTTCTCCACTCGCAGCATGGAGATCCGACCTGTCCCTCACATTTGGATTCTACATCCTCAACATAATAGTGACTCTCTTTCTCCCATCAAACAGCTCAGCGCTCACTAATTCTTTTCCTATTGTCGCCTAACAGTTTTTCTCTTCAGCCCAGCCAGTCAGTTCTTGACATCTCTTTTTCCATGTTTAGTTTGCGAGAGCAAGTGCCTCTTGTCCTCAGTACCTTTGTGTGCAAGCACCCGTTTCCCAGCGGCGCAGGAGTCTCTAACTGTAAAGAGGAAAAAACCCTAAGCTGCACAAGTTTGTAGAGAGAGAGAAGTCTGTTTGGAAAGAGGAAAAGACAAGCTACGCTTTGGTGGTAAAGGCGTGGGAAAGCACACTTCAGAGGAACGGGGCTTGGACGAGAAGTCGGGGAGAAGAAAAACTAAAAGTCTTTTTGCCAGACTTACTGAAGCTACCCTCTCCATGCTTCTTTCTCCCTCCTGGCTGACTTGCCAAGAAAAAAGGCCACTGGTCTGGATCCGAGGGAGCCTGGGGCTGGAATAAGGAACTTAAATTCCTTTCTGTAGCAGGTTCACTGACTCCCATCACAGAAAGAGAATGTTCAGGGCACATCAGTAAAAGGCAAGAGAAGGGTGTAGGAGACAGAGACTTTAGGACACTGTCAAGGATGGAGAGCAGGAGAGAAAGGAAGCACCCTACAGTGTGGGACTGGGGACACTGATGCTTCCTTGAGGGGATAGAAAAGCCCAGGGAAAGGCGGCCCACCTCCCATCAGAGGGATGTTAGCCCATTGTAGAGGTGTGGGCTTTCTTTTCAGCAGGTAATTTGAACATTCTTTCGGTTTGCTCAGACTGATCCTTTATCTTGGGATCAGGTTCTGTTCCTTACTTTTTCAATTAAGGCAGTTTATGGACTTCAATATTTCTAAGGAATTTGAGGTATGATGGCTTTGATAGGGAAGGAGTAAACTTAACCAAAGGAATCACGTTGGGTAGTTTTGGTTAGTTCCTGAAAGCTGCAGTCTTCTTAAAAACACAATTTTATGATTATGATTTGCTTGTCTCCTTTCTACCTTTATTTCTTCTATTTTACCTCAGGATAATGCATATTAAAGGACTATTTAACACATCTGAGACTAGTAAGAGCTTAGCAAGTGTCAGTTCCTATCCTTCCCTCCTGCAAAGCTGAGGCCTGGGATACAGTGACTTTCTCCTGCACTTCTGGCTCTGTCTCCTGCTTGTCTGCCTGGGAGACATCTGCAGAGTTCTGTAAGGGTCACAAGGACTGAGCTCTAGTAGATAAATTTCAGGCTGATCACAAGGAAGGCTCTGCCTCTCTAGTGAAAAATAAAATCTACATAAGTGAAATAAATAACGATGAAAAGAATGCTAGTGTATTATTTTGCATTCCTTGTCTCACAATAAGGTAGCAACCCCAACTTACGAATGAGGACACTGATCTGAGTGATAAATTATCCCATGCAACCAGCAAGCGACAAAGCCTGGCTGGGTACCTGGGCAACCTGACTTCAGAGCCTGTACCTTGACCATGGCCTTCTACTGACCCCGTGTCCCCCCAGACAGTGAACACCGTTGGGGAAGGGCAGGCCAGGCCCGTTTCACCCATCTGCACCAACTTAGCACAGATAGCCCTCCTCGCCTGGCATCTTCCTAGCACTGTGGCCTAAATAATCTATGTAAGAGGCCTCTTTAGCATCTCCTGTTCCGTGGTTCAGTCGATCTCAGAAGCCACAGACACTGCACCCAGAACATCCTTCTGCTCCTTGTGTATGTGACCAAGGGGATTGGTTACTACAGCTGGGGTCTCCCTTCACCGCCCACATCTGTATGCAATACCCCAGCCCCACTTCACACGACAGGTGCACTGTGAGAGCTCCCTCCCCACTTGGCTGGAAGGCGGTGGGAGTCATCAGCGACTTCACCGGACTTCACATCAGCCAAGCCCCCCTGCAAAGACTCACAGAGCAGTATCACACCCAGCCCTGCTCCAGGGAAAAGCCGGGAAGACCGACAGTCAGGGGGCCACATACAAAGAGGAGAAACATTTCCAGTTTCCTTACAAGGCTTTAATTGGAGACCCAGCCCTCTAAGGGGCAGGCCTGGCTCTGCGGAGCAGCATCTGGTGCCCAGTGGGGCTCAGAGGAAAAATGCACCATTGAGGTTGGGACAGGATCCCCGAGTGAATCCTAGAGTGAGTCCGTTACGGCAGCTGGATAAGCCTTAATATATATGACCTTCATGGACACCAAGCTATAGGTTCCTTTCTGCTTCTGAGGCTAAACCTTCTTCTCATAAGGGGAATTCTTTCAAAAGCTACTTGAGATCAAAACACACGTCTTTATCCTAATTACAAGTTGGAAGCTTCTGGACACAGACCCTAAACTGGCCACAGAAAGACTCGGGGCCTGGAGGAGGCCACCCTGCCCCGCCCACTCACTGCCCCTGCCGCCGCCCCGCTGCCAGCTGTGGTGCAGTCCTCCCAGTTAGAGGACCTAACTCGAGGAGAGACCGGAGGTCCACTCTCGGCTTCTGTGGCCTGACGTCTTTGAGGCCCTGACCCAGGGCTGACCTGCAGAGCTGTGCGCAGTTACAGCCCTTAGAGTAACCTTGAGTCTGTATCAGTCTTTCTTCCCAAGAACGACCGGCAACACTTTCACGGTGAGAACATCAGGTCTGCCCTCTCCCCAGCCCCACGAGGAGAGAGGGAAGACCCCCTCCCTCTACGCTGAGGGGAAGCGCAGGCCCAGTGAGGTCATGAGTGCAAACAGCTCCCAAGGGCTCCCACCTTCTGTCTGGACTCTGATTCTTACTCCATGCTGCTAAAATACCGGAGGGCAGGAGTTTGCTTGTTTCCCTGCATTTTCCTAATTTGTATCTCTTCTTTTGCCCATGTGAGCATTTTCGGCCTTGGAAATCCCTTTCATTGATTTGGGACTGGGGATTCCCTCTCAGTCTCCCCACTTCCCTCTCTCCAGACCAGAGCAGGGGGACCTCAGTCCCGCAGGAGCGCACACGCCCGCGCGCCCCTCTCTGGCTCAAAGCTCTATTGGGTGGAGGACACGATGTAGGCCGTGGCAATGTACTTCCTGCCGTTTCCGTAGGTGGTCTTGTCCCAGGCGTAGGTCTGGATGGACAAGGGGTAGCCACCCAGGCTTAACTGGCACCTGCAGGGAAAAGTCATGGGATCAGAGGGGGCAACAAGGCCCTGGTCTCTGTCCCCGGGCTGGAAGGGTCCAACCCAAGCCCTGCGGAATGGCTCCATCCTCTAACACAGCCACCACTGATCCCTGCAGCCACGGCTCCCTCTCCCCACGCCCAGGAAGCCCTTCCAAAATCTGGGCCTTGGCATGTGCCTTCTTTTTTTTTTTTTTTTTTGGTTTTGGTTTTTCTCCGGTACCGGGAACCGAACTCACGACCTTGTGCTTGCCAGGCAGGCGCTTTTGCTGCTGAGCTAAATCCCCAGCCCCTGGCATGTGCCTTCTTAATGATCACCACTCCTCATCTCTCTCCGAGTGGCATTCTAACTCTGCAGAGTGCAGAGCTGCAGTCCTCAGGAATTAAATGTTTGCCGAGTGTTTCTGAACCAGTAGGACCCAAAGTCTCCAGCAGGCAGAGAACATGAGGGCCGCTTGTTACCAGCTCCCTAGGGCTCCAGGGTTCCCCCCAAAATCCCAGGGACCGAACAGAGGTGCTTAGAGCCCCAAAACAATTCCATTTCTTTTTCCTGCACGAGAGCTCACTTGCGGGTAGGAATGAGGCGGTCCTGCTACTAAGACAAGGCTTGGCGGCTACCGGACTCTAGCCTCGTTGTCCACAGGGGGGCCCGAGGCCCGGCACAGCAACCCTTGCAGCTGCGGGTGGGGGGCTGCAGGTCTGCCCTTGCTCCCGGCCAGGGACAGGCTGTGCCCCGGGCTGTGCCCAGGGCGGGGCGGGCCCGCTACTCACGTTCTGCCTGGCCTGGCGATGAAGCACAGGGAGTAGAGCGCAAACTCGAACTCAGGACTGCTGCCGATGAAGGCTGAGCCCACTTCCTTGTAATAGCCGTCCCAGCTGAACTGCATCGCTAACACGTCGGGGTAGGAGTCCCACTGCAGGGAGGGGGTAGCACTGGGTCTGGTGACGGCCAGAGCGGAGCCCGACGGGTGTCAGATGTCCACACTCAGCCGGCGCGTGTGGTGGGTTTGGAGGAGCCTTCCCGGGAGACGCTCGCTTAGACAGAGATGCCCAGTCCCGTGCAGAGCCCTCTGCCGGTGCCAAGGAGGCCAGAGGCAGCGTCCACACACCCAGCCCCGGAGGGCAGGGACACGACTGCTCCCTGTGAGCACCCCATGTGGAAGTTTGTCGTCCCCAGATTATTTCCGGGTGCAGGGCAGCAAAGGTTTCTGTCTTGTGAAATGTACGGGGCGCAGCTCAGACCAGCCAAGCTGACACTTCCAGCCACATGCAAAGGACACTCAGGCCGGAGCTGACCGCCTGGCCTGGCCTCACACCCAGTAGGGTGACCTCTACCTCCTGTCCGCCTGCAAGTCCAGAGCCTCTGCTGTCCGAACAAAGCTGCACTCCCTGTCCAGCAGGCGAGGACATCACCTTCTCAACACCTACTGGACTGCCAAGGAGAGCTGGGCTAGAAGCAAGCCCGAGCGCCTAGACGCAGAGGGGAGCAGAAGTCTGGCCCCGAGAAGGCTTTTCCAGCACCGGTACTCACAGGCCCGTCATAGATGTGGCTGTAGTAGTCTACCAGGCCCTCCTTCTCCTGCAGATAGAAGCGGATCCAGTTATGGAAGCCGGTGACCTTGCCCTTTTTGACTTCACCTATAGTAAAGAGTCCAAGGTGGGTGATCTGGGCTCCCCTTCCACACACCCCACCAGAGCCCTTTCTTCCACTCCACACCAGGCTGTTACCCTTCTCCCTGCTCTGACGTCTAGAATGTGCTTTGCAGAGCCCCCCGCCTGCCTCCTGGAGCCCCGCACATCCCTCTGATCCCCTTTTCACCTAAAGCCCTTCCTCGGGGAAACCCGTCCTCCTCGTTGGCCCCAGGGCCACTCTGGGACGTCTCAGCTCTTTCTACAGGAGTGAGCCAGGCTTGTGGGAGCTTTACAAGGTGCGCAGTGGGGGAAAACTATGCCCCTCTGGTGAAGCAGGTAACCAAGCCCTGGAAGCAAAGGGCTGCTCAGAGGGGCCTAGACGTGCTCCCCTGGGAGGCAGAGCGTCGGTCTTCTTTCCCTCTTAGGTCCTCCAGCAAGACCCTCCTTGGTATCTCAACCTGCCCACCGGCAGTGGGTGTGTCCCGCCTTGCCCTCGTCGTGGCTGCCGACTCCCCCGTGCCCCCAGCACAGCCCCTGCTCTTCCTCCCTCCCAAGCTTCCTCCAAGCGCAGGGCCCCACCTGAGAAGACATGCTCAAAGCCGCTCGAGTCCCCCTGTTCGCTGCCTCTTGAGTAGAGTCCAAACCACATGTTCTTCAAGTCATCAACAAACTCTGGCTCAGAGCTGTAGCGGTCTGCAGAGACAAACACAGAGGACTTGCCGGAGGGGAAGTGGGGCCGGGCCTGGAGCAGCACGGCTAGAGAAGCACGGGTCCCACCACACACGTGTTCAACTGCTCACCGCAGGGCTGGGACCAAGGCTGCAGCAGAGAAAAACGAGGCCAGGGTCTCTGTCTGCATAGTTTACATTCCAGGGAAGAAACAAATACACAAGGAAACACCCAGGTGCACGCCTGTCATCCCAGCACTCTGGAGGCTGAGGCAGGAGAATCACCAGGAGTTTGAGGCCAGCCTGGGCTACACAGTGAGTTCAAGGACAGCCTGGAATACAGAGTGCAACCCTGTCTCAAGAAAACAAAAACAAATGAACAAACATGAAACACTGAATGGATAATCTGATTTCAGGTAAGTGCTAAAAAGACAATAAAAAAGAAAAAAGACAGTGAAGCAGAGTAATCCGCAGTGACCGGAGAGGGGCATGGGGCCAAGGCGCGCTCCCCAGAAGGCACGTGTTGGGCCCTCACCCCCAGATGTTACAGGAATTGGGGGCGCCTTTCAGAGGTCGTTAAGCCAGGAGGACTGTGCCCTTAGGAATGGAACAATGCTGTTTTCATGAGAATGGACTCCTTACCAAGAGGACGTTTCCTCTAAAAGGCTGAGCCTGGGGCTGGGGAGATAGCTCAGCAGCATAAGCGCCTGCCTGGCAAGCGCAAGGTTGTGAGTTCGAGCCCCAGTACCACAAAAAAATAAATAAATAAATAAAAGGCTGAGTGTGGGCCCGCTGTGCCTCTCATGCTCTGCTGCCCTTCTGCTTTCGCCATGGGACGACGCAGAAAGAAAGCCCTCACCCAACGCCAGCCCTCGTCCAGGACCTCCCTGTCTCCAGGACCGGGGCCAGCAAGCCTTGGTCCTGTTACGTCACACGGATGCGATCTTCACACAAGGCTGGTACTCGTTACGCCAACAGAGAGCTGGCGGAACTGAGCAGACGAAGATCCTGACACCCACGCACAGCGACCGGACCTAAGAGGCGGACGCAGCCCTGGGGCCCTCGCAGTCTCGCACCACAGACCAGTCTCCCCACAGCTCGACAGGTGTCTGGGTCAGAGAGACCCGAAGGGCTGGAGGCAGGGGAACTGCAGGAGCTTTGCTTTCTAAAGGGTCGTTGCCCTGTGTGGAAAGGTCAATGGGGCACAAGAGAGAAGGAAGGGAGGCCAGTTCTGGGGGCACAGCCGTGTCCAGGGGAGAAGCCGGCGGTGCCCTGCCCTCGAGGAGCTGAGCAGCAGGCAGGCCTGGGACAAAACTGACGGGGGAGTCACCGCCATCCCCGGTACAGGAGGCGGGGTGGGGAGCAGTGAGGTAGGGAGAGAGAAGAAGCAAACCTCATGCCTGAGCTTTGGCGCGACCCACTGGCTGGAGCCCCTCGCCTCGTTTACGCGATGTGGGGAGACCCCGGGAGGCGCGGGTCTGGGCGAAGAGAGGGGGTCTCTGCACACTAAGTTTGGTTAGACATCAAGGGGAGATTTTTAACCTGCATTCCGGATCTAAAGGAAAGGCCAAGGCTGGAGATTTCAAACACAGAGCCAACCAGTACTGTGCCCTGATCAGAGGGTCAGGGGATGTGTGTAGAGGATCCAAAAGAGATGACTGAAATACAGGGTCTGATTAAAAAATACAGTGTGTGTTTAAATTTTTTTTTAAATTACAGTAAAAGACACGATGCCATTAATCTCCCTCAAAGTACTCCCCTTCACTCTGCACAGGTGCATCTCACCACTCGGGCTGCTTTCCGAAGCAGTTCTGAAACTCCTCTTTCATGCATGTCTTTATGAAGTGTGACAAAAAATACGCCGACGGTGGCCGCTGAGCGTCATCCCGCAGAACGCAGGCTTGGAAAAACAGCATGCTGCGTCCTCATGCGTGTCTGCTGGGTCTGCCACCGTGCAACTCTGCTCCTCCCCAAAGTCAAAACGACCATGAGAGGCAAACGTTTTGAATCAGTGCAGAACATCGGGGCGGCCACTACAGTGTGACTGCAGACAGTCCCGAGAGAGGACTTCCAGAACTGCCTCAGAAAGCGGCAAGGATGTTAAGTACGTGTGCTCTAAGCAAGGAGGAGGATTTTGAGGGAGATTACTGGTAATGTGTCTTTTATTGCCATAACTTCTTAAAATTTAAGAATTCACTATTTCTTATCACATTTCTCATTCTCTCCTTTAAGGGATTTAAGAGGCATCGTGTACATTATATATGTAATGCAGAACCACTCACAAGCTGAGTGGCTGCCCTTACCAGCACTCACTGGGTGCCGGTTTTCTATTGTGTGCTTCGCAAACATGAATCCTCCAAGGCCTTACTTCACAGGTAAGACTCAGAGAGGTAAAATAACCTGCTCCGTTGTCTCAGTCTGCTTTCTGTTGCTGGAGCAAAGTACCTGAGACATGGTAACTTATAAAGAGTAGAGGTTTAGTGAGCTCACAGTTCTGGAGTCCAGGAGATCCATTATCAAAATGCTGGAATTTGGTGAGGACCTTCTTGCTTTGTCTTAACAGAGTGCAGGGTGTCCCTCGGAGAGACAGGACAAGCATGCCAAAGAGAACCCCCTTTCCTAACAAGGCTGCCCCTTTGCAAACCCGTTAATCCATACAAAATTTAATCTGTTTATGAGAGCAGAGGCCTCATGACTCTACCTGCCAAAGGTCTCACCTCCAAATACTATTAGCATGTACTGTCAGGGTTTAGGTTTCCAACACCCAGAATTTGGAGGGCACGTCGAAACCAAAGCATGCAGGTTGCACCACCCGTAAGCAGCAGGCGTAAGCACCAAACCAGGCCTCTCTCCCAGGGTTACGCCGCAACCCAGCCTCTCACCCCCGGGAGGGACGCTGAAAGCCTGAGTGCGCTGCGGGGATCGCGGCCTTCATACATGCGGTGGAGCCTGAGCAGGCGCTTGGAGGGTGAGTGGGGCCTGGACAGGAGACGGGGAGGAGAGGGTGAGGATGGCACAGCCTGGCCTTGGCCCTGGAACCCGGTCGCAGCTCTGCTTCAAACTCCGTTAGTCAGCCCAGCCCGGCTGCTCCCGCGCCTCACAGAAAAGTCCACTGCTGCCCGCAGAGCGAACGCCAGGGGGCAGTGTGTGAACGCATTGGCCTCACAAGGCCCCTGCAGCCCTGGCCTCACCTAAACAAAAGCAACCGGCGCCAACTCTCTGCAGAGCCCAGCAAATGGGACACAGCTGCACTGGCCGAGGCCGAGGCAACCTCTGGCCTGGGGGGTGCACCGGGACAGAGCTGCCCTGGGACAACGCCCAGCTGCCTGCACAGAGGGGAAGGAATCTGGAGGACACTCCCCAACACAACCTGAGCCGAGAAGTCAAACCCCTTTGCGTCTGACTCGCACGGGTCTGTATCAGAGCCCTCCGGCAGGACCGTGCTCTTGGACCCTGTGTTGGTTCCAGCGCCTGCTCCCCAGGAAAGGTGCGGAGGTGCCAAGCCCCCCGGGACACGGCGCAGGAACAGGGAGAAGCCGGCACCTTCACCTGCCTGACGCGTGTCATGATGCTGGGATTGGGCGGGTGGCAGAGAAGTGCCCTGGGGTGGGCGTGGGGGTGGGCGTAGGGGAGGCTCGTGCCTGGAGGGGACCCTGAGACTGAAGCAGGAGCGGGGAGGATGCACAGTGCGGCTGACTGTCACAAGGCGGGATGACTTTAAGGCCAGCCGGCCAGAAGATTCTCCAGCCCCTGGTGGGATCCCTGGCGTGCCCGTGGCTTCGGGCCTGTCTCTGATCCCTCCAGACGGGCCTCCCAGAGGTGCTACAGCTTCCCGCCTGCTCTCCCACCCTCCCATGGGGACCTCAGGGGCGCCTGGCTCTCCGCAGACGGCCCTGTATCCTTGACTCTGCCCCGCGGGGCTGGGAGCAGCTCACTCACTCTGGTGATGCAGGAAGCCGTAGAGCTCCTTCATCACGGCGGTCTTCATGATCTCTCCGAGGAAGGCATCCTGCTCGGCCAGCTCCTGGGCGCCGAGGCGCTCGCTGTGGCCCGTGGCCCGCTGGTAGTTGTTGAGCAGCTTGATGAAGGCTGCGTAAGTGGGCTTGGAGAACAGCTTCTCGTTGACATAGGTGAAGAGCCTGGGCACACGGAGTGAGACCCACTGAGAGGCCTGAACGTGCAGCAGAAGCCCTTCCGGAGGGGCTGGGGATTTAGCTCAGTGGCAAAAGCGCCTGCCTGGCAAGCGCAAGGTCGTGAGTTCGGTTCCCGGTACAGGAGAAAAAACAAACAAACAAAAAAAGAAGCCCTTCCAGAAACTTCCAGACAGCCGGGGGGCACCCAGGGGTTAGGGTCAGGAGTGCAGAGGCTCTGGAAGGCTTGGCACGCGGGCACTTCCTTCCACCCCATCTCTTGGAAGATCAGCCCTACCCCCAGGCTGGCCAAGCACAGAAACCCTCCTGGGGACCCCACAGCCCGCAGGGCAGCTTCTTTGTCTCTGGAGAGCTATTTCCCCTCTCCCTTTGATCCTGCCCGACTCGGGGGGGAGGGCATGACCAGAAGCAAAGCCAAAGCGTGGCGAGCAGGAGGGGGATGAGCGGAGGGGGGCGAGCAGACTCACAGCTCCGGGCAGCGGTCCACTCGGTCCCTGGTCTCCGAGGGAGGGATGCAGTTTTGCGGGTTGAGGATGATGTCTTCCTTCCGGGCTTTGTTGGTGTCCACCGCGTAGATCTTCTCAGAGATGCTCTGAAGCTCCTCTTTTGTGATGGTGTCGCTGCTGTGGGAGAAGCCGCCTGGAGGAATTGGGGGAGGGGTGGTCTCAGAGCCAGAGGGGAGCCAGAGACCTTGGAGAAGCCCGCGGTGGGATGGCAGGGTCTCCAGGGCCCCTGGCACCAGCGCGTGTCACGATCACGGGTCCCCGGGGGCATGTCCACCTGCCCCTGGGACAGAGGGTGGGCATGTCCACCTGCCCCTGGCCTCTGAGAAGCTTCCCCAGCTGAGGCGGGCACCAGAATCACCTCAAGGGCCTGTTCAAACAGTGGGGCACCCACCCCAGAGCGCCTGGCCAGCAGGCCTGGGCAAAGCTGTGGGGTGCATGCTGCTCGCAGGCTCTCAGGCCAGGCCAGCGCGGCCAGTGCAGGGCCCACACGGTCTGGGGCCCCTGTGCCCCCGGGGCTCCGCAGGGCAGGCGGACTGACCCTGCTCACCACACAGGCTCTCGAAATCCACGCAGCAGTTCCCGAACTCGCGGCAGCGGTCGTTGCAGTGGCAGGCGTCGTGTCGGTCGAAGGCTTCGCGGCAGCGGCCCCGGCACGAGCTGGGTGCCGCGTACAGGCCTGCGGGCAGAGGCGTGAGGCCTGGCAGCCAGGGGGCGCGGGTGCCCGGCTCCGAGGACACGGCGCAGGAAGCCTGGGCTGCTGCCTAAGGCTTCCCGCCTGCTGTTTTAGTAATCACTGCTCTAAAAATAACTCCCCTCCCTTCCCTCCGGCCCACCCGGTCCGCTGAGCCCTTGGCCAGGCCCGCAACACCCTCTAGGGTGGACACACCCCTCCCGTCACCCCGGGGTCCCTCCTCCCCCGTCACCCCGGCCCCATCACCCCAGGGCCCCCCCACCCACCCCTCCAGGCTCCCACGGGGCTCACTTCGGGTCGGGGGCTCTTCCTCCACCTCCGGGGAGGACGCTGGCTCCGCAGGGTCCTCTTCTACTGCAGGAGAAAATCAAGTCCCCAATCTGCCCAGGACCCCCGCCCTCCGGGCCCTGCGCTGCTCGAAGCCTCGGGAACGCCCGCAGGTGACCCACAGCCTGGCGGACAGCACTGCACAGTAGGGCGGGGCCAGGCGTTTCCAGGGAAGACGATTGGAAAGAATTTCCCCAGGTGACAGAGTTGCCGTCACCCCACCATCTCAGAGGGGATGTTCTGAGGAAAGCGAGGGGGCGCCCCCCCCCGAAGACTGTTGGGGTTATGACTCCTACATCCCCAGCCCGCTCGAAAGTGAGGCCCTGACCGAGGACCACCCTGTCCCTGGGGCTTCCCCAGTCAGGAGCGGGAGTCTCCGGCCTCTGAAATGGAAGCTATTTCCTGAGCTGCCAACTTCACACTGTTTTGTTTTGTTTTTCGTTTTGTTCCCACTTGGAAATGGCCGAGGACTTTCCGGAGTGGGCCTGTCAAGGCAGCCAAAGCAACAGCACTCTTCCAGAGTAATTCAGATTCTGTTAGTGACTTTGCAGGGACGTACTGTGTTAGTATCAGAACCACCCATCAGGTTACACATTCAGTCAACAAACGTGTTCTGATCACTTACGTCAAGCCTGGCTGGGTTCTAAGTGCTAGTAAATCCGTCAGTGTGCTGGAGGCCCCGCTGTCGTGTACAATAATACTTTTCCCCTGGGAGGAGATTCTGACTAGCACCCAAGCAGGGAGACTATTCAAAGAAGACTTTTCAAAAATTATTCATGTAAAGCTTTGCCATGCAAGTGCTGAAGGAACAACTGCCTTTCCGGGGTGGCAGGTGTCTCATTTTAACCAAATCTGACCGAAGTGGTAGTTGGGGGCGGGCTGCTCAGGGCGCTTGCCGGAGGACACGCGGCCTGCACGGCAGCCATCACGGCAGCGCCACGTAGAGTTCCTGGTGGCTGGTGAGCTGGGCGGAGAGACCTCATTAGCAGTTCCATATTTTTGTGATTTAAGGTGCTGGATAGCAACTGGTAATGTCACACGTCCTGAAAGGATTTCTTTCTTACTTTGTTCTGTTTTTGGCATTAGCTACTTAAATTTTGAAGCTACCGCTCATCCTGGTCTTCGAGACAGGTACCCAGGTGAATGGCCCCGGCCCTAGTGTGAGTCGAGGACTTCCCGGGAACCCCGAGCCCAGCGGTGGCCACAGCCCTGACCCGCGCGCCTTTCCTGCCCTCACCTGCGCACAGCTGCTCGTAGTCGTCGCAGCAGTCCCCGTGCACGGGACACCGGCGGTCACACTGGCAGACGGCGTCCCGGTCAAACTTCTCAGCACAGCGAGAAGCGCACGATTCCAGGTTCCCTACAGCAGTGAAGGTTGCAGGGTCAGCCCGCGGGGACCCTGGGGTCCTCGCCAAGGCGCCGCTGCGGGTGGGTTCCCTGACTGAGGCAGGCCCCAGCTGCAAAGGCCACTGCTACCCACGAGGCAGAGCGTGCTCGCAGCCTCCCACGCACCGGACAAGCTCCTCCGCGCCCAGCAGACACCCCAGGCCTCCTGGCACCCGCGGGGCTCGGGCGCAGACACTTGCTTGGGTAAGGCCTGTGACACAGGAGCAAAGAAGCAGGGCAGGAGGCCATGGAAGAGGAGGGACCGTGACAGCCTTGAGAGCCACGCGGTCTAAAATCCGTGGCCACTTCTCAGCGCCAGCCCAGTGGTGCTCGGTCTGGCCAGAGCCTCCAGTTTTTCAAAGAAACCTTCATTTTTAGGTGAAATTGCCCCAGCTTTAAAAACTCCATGCAGGTCAAAGAAAGAGGTCTGTGGACTTGACGTGGCCTGCAGGCCACCGTCCACCTGTCACAGGGAGCTCACTGCTGCCCGGTGGGGGCGCCCGGGTACCCCTGCCCTGTGCCCTGCTCACAGCCCGTCCCCTTCCTGCCCTCTGTGCTTCCCCCGGATCCTGTCTTCTCTGCACAGCGTCCCGTGTCACATCTGCCTGCTCCTTCCAGCCTTCAGGAGCTGCAGAGGCGTTTACGCTCCGGGGGGAAGGAGGCGGGTGTGGGTGAGAACCGGGCTTTGGGACCGTGTGTTCTGTTCCGAGCCACAGACCACAACCCTCGCTCCAACCAAACGGCTCTCAGAGGCAAACTTTTGGTCACAAGGGGCAAAAGACAAGACATTTTGAAAGGAACAGTTCACACCTATCAGCACTCTGGGGAAGAAGACAAGCCCCAGCATGCGCACCACAGCAAGGAGTGCAGGCGCAGGCCGGAGGCCCAGTTCCTTCCACGCTGGGCTGCGAGCGCGATAACAGTGTCTTTGTTCCCATCTGAGGTTCCTGAGGGCTGGACGCTGAGAGTGCTGGGCTCAGGGGCAGGCTGAGGGCGGCATGGGACGCCAGGGTCGGAGGCAGAGCGACTCTGAGCATCGGCCCGCGATCAGCGAGGAGACAGAGCCCTAACTCGACAGGGTTGCAGCAGCGGGGCTTTGACCGAGGGCTTCAGTTAGGACTGGGCCTGCCCCCAAATGCACTGGTAAAGTGATAGTTTTGAACTGACCTTTGGTTAGGCAACGGGATCTGGCTGAAGGTGACATTTAGGGATTAGGAATGTACCGGGGTAAGAAGAGAAGTCACTCCAGTTTGGTCTTAGATTGGATTTGGAGCTTGGTGCGGACTGTGACTCCACACAGGTCTGCCTCTGAAGAGCGGGTCAGAGGTGTGTATTAGGGCTCAGGGTCTAGGGCTCCTGGTTTAGGTTCCAGGGTTGGGGCCTCACATTCCTGGATGTCTCAGGAAGGAAGGAAGAGCAGAGAGGCTAAGAACCTGGACTCAGACACCCAGCTGCCTGGACTGAAATTCTGGTTCTGTCGCTCTTAGCTGTGTGACTTGGGGCAAGGTATTGTGCCTTTGTTTCCTTATCTGTAAAAGCGGCCCTATCTCACAGAATATTTATAAGAATTAAATGAGTAAATATTTGCACAGCACCTATGTGGTGTGTGACACACAGGAAAGTCATGTAGGTATTTGTGTAAATAAACGACGGCAACCTCCCAGGCCCATGCTCACAGCGGCCGAGGTTTCGACCTGCTAACCCTGCCGCACAGGGACCCCACACACACTCAGTCCGGACGACCCCCTCCCCGGCCCTCCATGAGCAGGTGGTCCGCACAGGTAAGTGGCGCAGGGTATCTTGGCTGGCATCACACCATGAGTCTCTTCTTTACATCAAGAGACTTTAGGTCAGCTCTGAGACGACTCCATGCAGGTGGGCACCCAGAAAACCCTCCAGGCACCCAGAAAAACAGGATGCTGGTCCCGCGTTGCTTCTAAAGGAGACCAAGCCCGAGGCTACTCGCCGCCTCAAGCCCACAGGAACTCATCTGGAATCTTAAGTGAGGCTCTCTTGGCACCTGGGTGCAAGGCCCTTGGGAGGAATGCCCGGGCCAGCCTGGCAGTACACCCAGAATCCAAGGAAAGAACTCGACGGCTCAGGGCAGCACGGTTAGCGGGCCAGACCAGAGTCCCTGGGAGGGGCCCACTCCATTCCAGCCCTGGCCTCTGCCGAGAGGGCCACAGGGAACGGTCCGCTGTGAGCTCGGGAGGACGTGGGCCCGCCGGCCCCGCTGCACGGACATTGTTGTCTCTATTCAGGAGCTTTGTCTCCAGTGAGAAGCATGCCCAGGGGTCCCCATTTCTCTGTGAACGTGGTCTGCTTCAAGGTGACCTTGGAACGGGAGGTGACAGGCAGGGCTCTTCCTCCTAGGCGCCTGCTGTGCCGTCTGGGGACACTCAGATGACGAGGCGCTGGGCTCCAGCATCCCACCGCGCCGCCTGTGGACACAGGCTCTGTGAGCCCCTCACCACCGGTGCCCGCGTCACCGCCCCAGCAGCCTTCCGCCTCCCGTCCTCTCCGCTTCGCTTTCTGCTTGGCTTCGTTTTCACCTTTCTTCTCCGGGGCTCAGGTTCTGCCACCATTTCCAGTGAAAGGCTCTGCCCGCCTGCCCCGCCACCATGGCATGCTAAGGGCTTTAATACGCCAGAGCCTCTGCGGCCCGTCTATACTGAGCCCAGAGCTTAGTTCCAAGCCTGGGTAGACATAGGGTCCCACACGCCAGTGTCCAGCCCCGCTGATGGTTTCCGGGTCCTACATGTGCACCCCAGGTACCCCAGATGCCGTTTCTGTGGAGACCTGGTCAACCAGAAGTTTCATTCCCAGGAGCGGCTTCCTGCCTCTGTCCGCTCACCCAGGGTCTCCAGCACAGCTGGCTCATAAAAGACGGCCCGAGGCTGCTCACGCTGCGCCCGCCTGACCGTCTGGCATCCAGGTGCTGGGCCGGAGGCAGGTGAGCACAGCCCCTTCCCCCGCCTCCCCTCCTGCCCTGCCCGTTCTGGGCACCGATCCTGCCCTGCAGCCAGGTACTACCTGCACTCTGGAGCTGCCGCTGCCCTCCCTGAGGCCCACGGCCACCCCTCGGCACCAGGCCCCACTGGCTCCCGCCTCCGTGCCCATCGGCCGAGGCACACGCACACCCCTGCTCTGTCCCAGTCAGCCTCCGCCGGCAGGGCCCAGGCAGATGTACATCCAGTGCGGGGGGCCTGCGAACAACTTTTTCCTTTAAGTTTCCCATTTAGGAATCCGGCTGAGCGCTGGGCGTGGTGGCTCATGCCTATACCCCCAGCACTTGGGAGGCTGAGGCAGGAGGGTCATTGCGAGTTCAAGACCAGCCTGGGCTACAAAGTGAGCTCACGGCCAGCCTGAACTGCATAGAGAGACCCTGTTTCAAAAACGGCAAAAAAAAAAAAAAAAAAAAAAAAGGCATCCAGCTGAGGAACTCTTTATCCACAACCTGATTGGTAATGGCTCCAAGAGCAAGTTCTTCCTGGGGATTTATAATCACCAGCCTCACTGAGGTTCCAGGCCCCGAGGCCTCACTTGCACCCCCCGGTTCTTCTGCACTGTCACCCTTGTCTTTACGACAATCCCACGCAGGGACGACCCAGGTGGCAGGGATGACATCAAGTTGACCTTTTCTCGGTGGGCAGAGGAGGGCGCTGCCCACACCCCTCAGCTCAGCCCCTCCCTGGGCGCCCCTCCCTGCCTTCCAACCACCAATGAACACATTGGCACCCGCATCCTGTACAGTTACCGAGCAGGACGGTGCTCCTCTCCTCTGAGAGAATGAGCCAGGCCCTCCGCTCCCTCTGTTCCCCTAACAGAAGGGACAGAGGCCCTTTCCTCTGACCGCTTGCATAGCCCGCTGTGGCACGTGGTCCATCTTCCTCCCCTCTGGGTTTCCTCCTGAGCTGCCCTTTCCTAAGGCTCTACCCAGAGAGAAGTCATACCCTAGACAACCTCACCTGGCCAGGCAGCAGAGGAGCAGACAAACAAAGGCATCCCCAGGCCACAGCCCCGACGGGCTACAGGCCCGGCTTTGTATCACACACCCTCCATAGAATCTCAGTGACATCAAAAGGCTGGTTGGGCTAGTGTCACTGGATACCCATGCTGGGTGGTGATGTCATGGTTTCAAAAAGGAGCTTCCATGAAAGAAGGCCCTCAGCCCTATGACTCCTTCCTCAGAGCGCAGGCTCCCTGAGGTCAGCCCTTGTACCCCGAGAGGACAAGGGAAAGGCACCCGAGCTTTAAGACCAAGCTCAGCCTTCCTTGGCCCGCTGCGCTCCCCATGTGCCAGGTTCCCCAGGCCCTGCTCTTTGGGCCAGACCCTACCCACCCCCTCCCTGCCCACCAGACACTTACCAGCCCAGGTCAGGCCGCAGAGCATGGCCAGTATCAGGGAGACCCACAGCCTCATGGTGCCCAGGTGGTGGCCAGAAGGGGACTTGCTGCTGGACTTTCACTAGAGTCAGGGTGAATGTCACGGTCTCAAATGAGCCGTATTCCCTATGCTGATCCTTTTAAAGACTCCAGGACCTGCGGATCTGGTGAGTCCAGCTCCTTCCCAGAGGAAAAAGGAGGGCGGGACTGCAGAAGGATAGGAGGTCAAGCCCTACAACTGTCAGAAGCCCGGGGCAAGGTGACTAAGCAGGCAGGTAATGCCACAGATGTTGGAACAGGTAAGGCCAGCTGTTTATGGCTAGAAAATAGGCCATGCATGCAAGCACAGCAAGATGGGCCGCGTCTGGCGGGTTCTTTATCCAAATTAGGGACCTCTGCGGGATTATTCTGGGTGATTTCCGTCAAACGCCCACTATCTGCAGTCAGAGACGTGATCCGCCAAGGAGCTGCAAGTACAGACTCAGCTCGCTGGGAGCAGAGGCCCTCGGTGGCTATCTTGTTCGGCCTCTCTTGCGGCGGCGTCACCGCTCCACAGTCCCAAGCGGCCGTCCTGCCTGCCTCTGAGTC